ATCCTCCTGGTAAATTAATGTGCCTTGTCCCCCTTCTTGCAGCAGGAGCTCCCTGGGAGCCTGGCCCAGGGGCAGCAGGTCTGGGTGGGTTTTGAGACCACGTTTTCTTTGTGTTCTTTTCCTTTTGTAAGTGCTGAGCTGCACTTTCAGCACCCAAGTGTCCCGTTGGCACAGGAGGTGCCCAATGGCCATCTGCTGTGTCCCGACTGCAGCCTCTCTGTTCCCCCCTCATCTTCCTCTCTGGAGAGAGACTTGCCTTTCCTGGAGCTCCAGCTGGTGAGGAGTGAAACCCTATCCCAGCTTGGTGACTACAGGAAGCTTTGGATGGATGAGAATCCAGCATGGTCGGGTGCCTCCGGAGCGGCGGGCGCTGCTGGCAGGTGGCATCTCCTCCCTGGAAGGACAGTGTCCCTCTCCAGCTGCTCCCTCTCTGCCTGATGCATGGCCTGTCCAGTACCTGCTCCCCACTTAGCATTCCAGGAGTTATGGCCACCTGAGCTGGTGCTTAGCGAGGGGATTTGCTGTGCTTAGATGAAAAATGCAACGGGCCCTTTAAACTGCCCTGTAGCTAAATTGAGCTGAGTTTTCCAGTCCCTGCAGCTCTCAGCTCTGCTCCTCTGCCCTCTTAGCAAGAGGAAAGGAAACTCTTAGGTTGCACTTAGGAGCCACCTAAACATCTACTAAATGTCTTCCCTGAGTGATGCTCTTGGTCAGTGCTTCCCCAGCCTCAGGAGCAAGGTCTGAGTGTGAAACCAGGAAAGGAAGAGGGAATACAGCATATCATGTGGGCACCAGCAATGTTTCCAGCTGATAGGATAAATCCAGGGTATTCCTAACTGCCTCATTGAGATCTTTGTGGCTCTGGAACAATTTCCATTTGCACACCTGTGCAGAAATGTGAATAGGAACATCTTACAAATTCCAGGTGCTTGAGCCCTGCTGGTACCTGTGCCAGCTCTGGTGCCCCAGGACTGCTTTCTGTGCCATCAGAGGTGAGGAAATGCTCTTCTCCTTCCAGTGGCCACTTACAGCTTTTTTTCCTTTTAAGATGGAGAAAATCCTTGTCACATTTCCTGATGTTTCTGTGTGGTGTGAGGAAGTGATCATAGAGAGAATCATACTTATTTCTGCTTGGGAGAGGGAGAAACAGGAGGCCATTCCTCATCTCGGGCCTGGGCTTGGATTGAATGAGCCTGCTAATCTGGATAACTAGATAACCTGTAGAGTACTTGCCAGGTGCTTAACCCTTCTTCATACGCCAGGAAGGCTTTCTTGGAACTGGAGGCACTGGCCAACATAAATTGCTTCTGTCAATGTGCTTTATTGGACTACATCAAAGTAGAATCGATAGAGAGTTTAAAAAAAAACCCTAACAAAATGGGCTTTCTAAGGCAGAGCAAGTCATAAACAGACAGGAGTGCTGTGCAGGTCAGGTTTCACCTGGCAGCCAGGGAAACAGGGGGGGGCTGGCTCTGTCAGGGGTGATTCATGGCACTGGAATATTTCAGGGGAGGGGAAGCATCCAGGAGTTGTTAACACACTGCTGCAAGGAGAGGGGCTCTGAGTGGGTCGGGTTTGTGCCTCCAACTTTGCTGTCACAGATTTATACTGATATCATCTCTATCAGTGTAAGTTATCTGTTTCCATTTAACCTAGATGAAAGCTTGAGTGTGGTTATTGCATTCTAAGGTTGCTGGAACTTGTTAATAATTTAGAATAATCAAGTCAAATTAATTCACTTTTCAAATCGAGCTTATTTGCATTGGCTGGTCTGGTTTTTTGTGACAGATCTCTCTGCGGGCATATGTTTGTGTAAGCTTTTTGTGTGTGCTCGTGAGTGTTTGTGTGCATACGTAATTTCCTTCTCCAGCTCACAACCAACAGAGGCTGAGCTGGATTTAAATGTTGTGCAGCAAAAAATGTGAAGAAGGTCCATCCCAAAGTGGAGCTGAATAGCTGAGGTATAAATCCTCAGGGGAAAATGGGGTTTGTAATGGAAATGCTGCCTTGTTTTAAATTATAGCCAGGCATCTGTGAGGCTGAAATTCCTGCTGCAGCATCCAGACGGTGCCTCAAGCTGGCTGCACGTTCCCAGAAATGAAGAACCCCCCCAGCCTACCTGCAGCCTGACCTTTGTGCTGACACTGGCGTGCAGCTTTTGTGCTGCACGGGGCGGGCGCGAGCGCGCGGTGACAGATTGCTGCTGACAGGGAGAGGCTCCTCCAGCTGCATTTCTCTGCAGCCCCTGCCATATATCCAGGGGCTTGTTAGAGGAACAACAGCACCAGCCAATAACCAGTTGGTCTAAGCCCCTGGGACAGACCGTATGGCCCACACTCTGCTTCTTCCTGAGCTGTGAGTGTGGAGTAAATTCAGCTGCCGTAGCGCTCGCAGCCCTCGCTGCGTTACACAGCGAAGGAGCACACCCGGCCGGGCGTCTGGCTGTACCTATAAATAACAGTGTTTGTGTGTGTGTGTGCATATTTATGTGTCTGTGTATTTATTGTGGGTGAGGCTGCTTGTAGAGCAGCCCAGAAAATGGAAATCCTTTTGTGCAAATGTGCTTGCATGGAGGCAAGGAGAGCCAGGAGAGCGGGGCTGATGAATTGGCCCTGAACCGCGATGACAGTCCTTTTTTTAAAGTCAAAACAATTTCAGGGAAAGGGTCTCCAAAAAAAACGTCCAGTTTCAGGAGGTAGCACAATTGAATTTCTGGTTCCTGGCTGCCTGCCTGGAGGGCCTCTTGTCACTTCTACTTTCTTCCAACAAGGCAGAAGGCGGAATTGACAGCAGCCTTCCCGCCAGGCTGTTAGGGAAGCAGGGAAGCCAGATGCTTTCCTCCCTGCTCCCTCCCCTTCTGCGGCCCGAGAGCCAGAGAGTTAAGTTGCTTAACTCTTCCATTCTCCCTCTCCAGTGTTCCTGGTCTGATCCAGCAGGGATCTGAGGAACAAAATGCCTGGGAGTGGGCACAAAGGGTCCTCACTCCAGAGGGTGGGAGTGTGTGTGTGTCAAAATAAAGTACCTTTGTGCTTTGTATAGAACAGGAAAATTAGACTTTTATACAGAAAGATTCTGCAGAGAGGCACATGGTGGGAATGGGCTGATACAGGAGCCTCTCTCCCAGCAAACCCAGGGCAAATAATGTGATTTCAGAGCTTCCAGCCCAAACCCACTTCTAAACTCTCCCTCAGCCCCTGCTATTCATATCACTGCATATAGGGTACAGTGTAGGTGGGAGCTAGAATATTCCTTAGAATATTCCTGTAATTTCTTCAGCAAGGACAGTATGCTCAGGCCTCTTTTTTCTTTGTGTAGAATTATCATCTTTAGATGTTAAGGGATGTGGAAGGCTTTGGTTGCTGTTGAATTAACATTTCTGTATGCATCATTTCACTAGATAATTTGCTGACTCTAAAATTTTTGTGTAATCAAATTGGCTGGCTGTTTTAACATTTGTCTGACACCATTTTTAAGTAGTAGTTAAATGAAGTGGAGAATGGAGCCCTTTCTTTAGACTCAGGCTGTAACAGGGTGAGGGTCTCCAGTATGATTTTTTGATACAAGACCTGCTCTGTGTCAGGGGTTGGGCATTTCCAGCACTCACAACCCACAGAGCCCTTTTTAATCTGCCCACGGCTACAAAATGGGGTGACAAAGTGGTAGTGGACAGCCAGGAACTCACAGCCTCAGTCTCCTCAAGTTCATCTCATTGCCAAAACCTCAGTACAGTGGTTAAGGTGAGAATCCTTCTCCTCTTCTACTGAGGACAAGAGGAAAAGGCCTCAGGCTGTGCCAGGGGAGCTTCAGGTTGGACATCAGAAGGAATTTCTTCATGGAAAAGTTGCTCAGACATTGGAATGGGCTGCCCAGGGACATCTGGAGTCCCCATCCCTGGAGATGTCCAAGGAATGCCTGGACATGGCACTCATTGCTCTGGGCTGGTGACAAGGTGGAGATCGGTCATAGGTGGGACTTGATTGTCTTGGAGGGCTTTTCCAACCTCAGTGAATTTATGAAATAGCTCCAAATGGCACCAAACCAGGACCTTGAAGGGAAAATTGTGCCAGGGGAGGTTTATACCACGTATTAGGAAAGAATTCTCCACAGAAAGGGTGATCAGGCATTGGAACAGGAAAGTGGTGGAGCCACCATCCCTGGAAGTGTCCCAAAAAGATGTGCATGTGGCACCTGAGGACATGGTTCAGTGGCAGTAGTGGTGCTGTGGGTGGAAGGTTGGACCTGGTGATCACAGAGGTCTTTCCCAGCCTCAGTGGTTCTGTGCTTCTGTTTCTGAAGTTCACCTGCACTGACACTGCCAGGCTGTGGGCTCTGCTGGGGCCATCCAGGCTCCTCCAAAAGCAGGGAAATCACAGGGTTTCCTCCAAAGCCATCCAGCCCTTCTCCTCCTGTGTGCCTCTTTATGTCTCTCCATGGCCAGGAGCTGGATCTCTGTGCTGGTACACTCCCCTCGTGCCAGCAGTCCCTGGGTCCCTGTGCCACCTTCCCCAGGCAGGGAGGATGGTGATGGAGCAGGCATTCCTCTGGGTTTGGCATGCTCAGCTCAGGCAGGAGGGAACACCAGCCTCAGGCAAACCACAAACATTTGTCACCTGCAGCAAGGCAAAAAGTGTTGCCCAGAACAGCCTTTGGAAATATTTTAATTACCTCTGGTTAATCTGGCAATCAACGAACTTGAGGTAAAGATCACAAGTGGAGACAAAGTCGAAGGGGAATTTTATGCTTGGAGTCAAATTTCAGCAATGTTTTTGAAGCGTTTCTAATTGGGATGGTTTAAGAGCCATCCCCAAACCTCCCTGAATCCAAACAGTTCTGATGTAAGTGGGAAACCAATCAGTCATGCAGCACTGAGAGCTGGAGCAACACAGGGCTTCTAAAAGTACCAGCCTAACCACCAAGGTCTTTCTGTGCAGCTTTACAGTCAGAAAACTTCTTTAATGGACTGTAAATCAGAAAAGGAAATTTATTTTTTGTTTCTCCAGGCTTGAAAGACGAGCATGCATCTGCCTGACAGCTTTGAGAGCGAGCCATCCCTGCCAGCCAAAGCAGATTCTCTGTGCCTGCTTCCAAGCAGCACGAGCTGAAACAACTGGTGGCAGAGTGGGGTGTCTCTACAGTCCTAGCCACGAAGAGAGGTGATTATTCCTCCCTCCTAATTCCACTTTCCATACGGAAATTATCCTGTGCTAGAGGCGTGCACCTTCCTCTGTTCTGTCAACGTGTGTTGCTAGGAAGATTTATTTCAGTAATAAGGTCTTAGCAGTGAAACTTAACAAAAATGAGGGGGCAAGTTTATTAATTATATATTTTACAGTTAATTAAAGATAATATTTAACAGAAGTAATTGCAGGCATCTGCAATGATGGCACAATTAATTTCCAGTGATAAACGGGTTGTGTGTCCCTTTGTTGGTCTGATCAGAAACAAATCCTGCCTTGTGCTAAACCCCTCTTATCTCTTGGCATTTGCAGGAGATGAAACATCCTCCTGCTCGCAGCACAGGGAAGAGGCTGGAGCTGGGCTGCTTTCTCCACACCTGTAGAACTGTGGTGAAATGGGGATTCTTTGTGTTTCATTGGCTTCTCTGAGGAAAACAGCAACCACGAGATGAGACAGAGCCTCGGGGTGAGTGCAGGTCCCACCCCCAGTTCTGCCAGCTCCTCCATCCCATCCTGCCTGGCAGCCCAGCTCTGGGAGGCAGGAAAGCTTTGTTCCACAGGTCTTTCACCTCTCAAGCTGCTTCTAAGCAGTCTCTTCCATTTGTGCTGAAATGCTGTGTGGGAGCACTTGTGACTATCTCAGCATGTTCCCAGAGCCTGGGCATGGATGCAGAGGAGCTGTCCATGTGGGAGCTTGCTGGGCTCTCAGAGCACCTACCCCTTTGGGATCTGACACAAAGGGTACCCACCATGTGCCCTGAGGTCTGTGCAGTGGGAAGGTTTATTCTGCACTGTCACTGGCCATGTTTCTATTCTCCTAACACCTTTCAGACAGGTTGGTAGGTTCTACCTCGTGCAGGTGTCCATCTCCCATTATCTTCTCCCTGCCTGAGGTACACACAGCCTGTGACACACAGCTGAGTGATTTTTATTCCCTCCACTTGAGGGAAGTAGTTTACAATGCTATAAACTGGTCCTGTGTGATTGACTCATGCCACCTATTTCTGAAACACAGCCAATAAGGTAAGAGAAGATTTAGAAAAGTTAACAGTGTACAGATCTGTTTAGGACAGGAAGAGAGACCAAAAGTTAAATAAAGTACTGTAAAGAGCCAATCCCAGCACAGCTGCTCAACACAGAGCCTGTGACAGTGATATTCCTTCCTGTTTCCTTTTTAATTTGTTATAGAAACTGTTGGTGCAGTTGGTGAGTTCTCCCCAGGGGCAAAGGAGCTGCTCTAGGAGCTCTGCACACCTCCAGGCAAGGTCCTTCCCATGGAGGAGGTGATGGGAGCTGGTCAGGGAGGTTCTTTTCCAAAGGCATGCCACAAGGATCTGGGCTTCCAGCCTTTTTATTGTCTTCATGGATGAGGTAAAAGATGGAGTAAGCAGCATGTGAATGACATGGGAAGGTGAAAGGAAGAGAAAGCCATGCCAAGGGCCAGAAGAGGTCCCAGGTTCCAGCCTGGCCAAACTGAGCAAACTGTGTCTGCTGTGGGCTCAGGAGAGCTGGGGCTGAGCTGGGCAGCCCAAGCAGCAGGCTGGGTTTGTCAGGGCAGCTTTGAGCTGAGTGTTGGCTGCTCTGCTCTAAACCCCAGGTTTTCTACAGACCCATCTTGTAAATATTTAAATGCAGGAGTAGCAAGTCAGAGTGGGGATTTGCAGGCAGGGAGGGGAGAAGAGTGTGTGAGCTGCATGTCTCAGTGTCTGCACCCGTCTGTGCAGTCTCCCAGAACCTTCCAGAGAGATTTTAATCCAGAGAGCTCTGACAGCCTTTCAGGCATCAATCACCCAGCACCACAACACCCCTGCAAGGTCAGGCAGTGTTATCAGCTCCCCTCGGAGCAGCGCTTTGTGCCTCAGCAAGGAGGGATGGGCAGAGGGAGAGCAGCTCCTCAGTGTGTGTGTGTGAGATTTCCTGCAATCACAGCTTTCCAGATTCCTAGAGCCAGGGATGGCATCCAGGTCTCCTGGAGCCCTGCTCCCTGCCCTGACCACTGGAAACACTTCCTCCCCACAGAAACCTCACGGTGAAACCACCCAGCAGAGCAGGGCTTTGTAGTTTGGCAGGCAGAGCACAGGCTCTGCTCTGCCCAATCCACAGGCACATTTTTTGGGGTTGTGTGTTTGCTGAAATCTTGGCTTTGCTGGTCTGCAGAGAATAAAAGTTGATTGTTGAGCAGCCAGGGCTCGGCGTCGCCCTGCCTGTACGTGTAAATTCCCTGCACAGCCAGGCCAGGCCAGGGGGGATGTTTGTGGGGCTGCAGCCTGCTCATGTGAGGAGCCTTGTCTCTGCTCTGTGCTAAACATGTCTCTGGTTACCTGCTCTCACTGGAGCTTTTCTGGCTTCTCCAATCCTTTCCTTGGCTGCTCTGGCTGCAGGGCCTTGTGATAGCTGGCTGGATTTATTTATTTAATAATAAAACTTAAAGAGCGGGTTGTTTTCCAGGCAGTGGCTGTCTCTGTGGAGCCAGGTCATGATGGGGTTAGTGTGGAGGGAAGCAGGGCTGCTTGGGGAGCTTAAAATCTGCCAATCCCACTATTCCCTCTGCTCCTCAGCCTTCTCCAGTAACCCCTTCCTCCTGCACTGGCAGGACAGTTTATGGTGCTGTGCAGACCATGCCACTTCCATCTCTCTCAGGATGTGGCAGGGGTAGTACAAGAGGGACTTCACAGCCCAAGGCTACAAACAGGACAATATGACAGTAAGGAGAAGATGATGGAACACAAAGAGTGGGCCTTCCTTTGGTTATTTCTCCTGTGCAGATCCCTACAGTTGTCACAGCATGTGTCTCCTGTCTCCCACCCTCTTCTATATGGGACAATGACATCCTTCCCATAGGGCTTAGCAGGGCTGTCTTTATTCTTATGGCTGGGAAGCAGCTGTACTCTTTTGGAGGGTGGATTAGTCAGGGGTTTAAAACAAAAGTCAGAGGTTTGAGCTTTGGATCCCAACCTGAGGTATCTGCTGGTCCTAATCTGAAGGGCACCCCCAGCTTCACTCATGGTACCCCCAGGTCCAATGGGCCACTGTGCTGCTTTAGCAGACTTGATTTTCTTCATCACCATGAAATCCTGGGTTGTGTGGTACCTGCCTGACAGTGCTGCTTTGGGCAGAGGTCAGTCAAATTACTCCCACTCCTCCACCACCAGTGGGAAATCCCCCTGGGATTTAGAGCTGGATGAGGAAACCCACCTCCATCACTCTCTGAGCTGGGCTGGGCAGTGTTCAGGTGCATCTCAAAGACTCCACGTTCCAAGAGGCAGGAATCTGTCACAGCACAGCTCCGTGCCTCGGAAGGGAGGGGGGGATTGTTCCCTGAGGGTTTGGCTTCAGGAATAAATCTGTACCTCCACACTCTGCCCATAAAACTGATAACACTGAGATTGCTTTACACATCAGCAACAGAATGGAGACAGCAGAGGCAATCAGGACCCAAAATAATTATGTTTATCATCTATAATCATCACACAGAGTCTAACAGCACATTAGCACTTCCAGCAGGCAGTTTTCAGGAGCAGGGAATGCAGGCAGTGTTTTGGAGGATGCACTGATTATTTTAAAGGACATCAGCCACATCTGAACCTGCCGTGGGGAATTCTCTGAGCTGCCAGCACACTCTTTTATTGCATGTGTGGGGACCAGGAGCAGGGCCAGTGCTGAACCATCTCTGTAAAGTGTTACTGGCTGTAGTTTCCAGAGTCAGGCTGTGGGAACAACAACTCAGCCCCTTTCTGCCTGATCCCAGGGATTTGGAAGGTGTAATCTGGAAGAGCCTACAGCAGCTTGAACCCCTCTCCATGGAAGGGATTATTCCAAGAGAAGTCTCTCATGTTTCCCCTTGTGATGCTGCCTCTGCTCCTCCCTGTTTTCCTGCCAGTCCTGGAATACACACAGACTGCAGGGCTGAGCTCCCTGGTGGAGAACTGCCCTCCCCGGTGCTACTGCACAGTCTTGGGGGTCTGGGGCTACAAATGTCCAAGCAAATCCAAGTGATCTCAGTTCCAAACAGGTCCCTGAAAACACCTGCAAGCAGCAAAACCCATCATCCTTCAACCCAGGTCCTGCAGCATGGTCCTCTCTCTCCGTGTGCTGCACTGTTAGGGAGGGCCAAGCTTTGCAGCAAGGGAGAAGAGGCCAGAGAAAGTCCTGGTCAGGAGGAATGCAGTCAGTAAAGCATTCAGCCTTTTGATGGAAGGGCTTAGTAACAGTCTGCTTGGAAGGAAAGGCCTTGGAGCCAGATTTGTATGTGGAATTAGCTGGAATCTTATCAAAAGCCCACAACGCCTCGTCTCTTCAGCAGAACACCTGAGATGCTGCACATTTATTTGCTGTGATGTTCCAGGTTATAAAGTGGCTTTAGAACCCCTTGTGTTCCATGATGATCCCCAGGTGAAGGTGTAAAATCCAGCCTTTCAGGATGCCCCTCCCGAGGTGTGTCTGGGTGTGAGGGAGGGGCTGTTCCCATCCTGTGTCTGTCAGTGGGAGCTGGTGTTTCTTCTGCAGACACCACCCCACTGCCAAAAACTGCTTTAGCAAGGCTCTTAGGAGCTGCTTTCAAACCTGAAAGGGTTTTTGGAGCCAAACATTGGTCTAAGTGCCTTTTTACTGAAATTCAGATGCAATCCAGCCAGACTCTCACTCCAACTTTTCAGCTTTCCTGCAGATTGTTTTTCCAGGGGCACCCTCTGGCTTACCCACAAGACTGAGGGAATGCTGTCAAGACAGGAGCCATTTTCCTGTGTGTAAAAGGCACCCAGCTCAGGACTGGTCCTCTGCTGTGGGTGTCTCATGCCAGGGAGCCCAGGAGGAGAGCTGAGCTCCAGGGAGTGCTCTGGGGCTGACTGGAAGAGCCTTGCTGTTCCCTGTGCAACTGAGACTTGCCTGTGGTGTCAGGGATGTGGAGTTCCACAGGCAGGGGATAATGGGGTGAAAGGACACTCAGGGAGTCTCCAGAGGCAGCTGGAGCCAGTGAAGTCCAGTTGGTCTGGCCATCATCCAGTCAGCTTTTGTGTGTCTTCAAGCACAGGGGTTGTTCTGCCTCTCTGGGTTGCTGTCCTGGATAATTGGGTTTTCCTGAGCACAGTGCTCAGTACTGAGTGTGAAATCTTTTCCAAAATCTTGGCCCATTTCTGTGCTAGCAGAGGTTCTGCTTTCAAAGCAGGTTTATCACTGACTCAACACCCACCAGGCTTCCCCTGTGCTCCTAGAGCTCCTCCAGCCTCTTTGTGGGCTTTTCCAAGTGCAGAAGGGACAATGCCAGCTCCCATCCAGGGTGGTTTAAAAAGGCACTTTACAACTTGGAACATGACAGTAAATAAATGTGCAGCATCTCAGATGTTTTGCTGAGGAGATGAAGTGTCACAGGCTTTTGAAGAGATTCCAGTTAATTCCACACACAAATCTGGCTCCAAGACCTTTCCTTCCCTGCAGACCACAGAGGATTTGGGGCCAGCCCAGTCATTG